ACTTGGTGTCCGAAATCAACCAGCTTCTAGTCCGAATTGGGCTTAGAGCTCTGCATAAGAATTGTAGCTCTCTGTGTTATCTGAAAAACCCAACAAGAACAGAGTCAATCCGACAACTATGGACCGAGATATGGCCAAAATACAGAAGTAACGTAAAGCTGAAAAATTCTGACGAAAATAAATTAAACCCAATTAAAAACTAAAAACCTAAATTAACTCTAACAATCATTATTTTATTCAAATAAATCCTAAAAATACTAATCAAGAGTAACAAATAAGTGTAACAAAATATGTGTTATCAAATTCCCCCACACTTATCTTTTTGCACTCCTGGGCAAAAACTAAAATTGAAAGTAAATACTAAGATCAACCAATCCTTTCTAACAATTACCAAGCATACAGAAAATATACAAAGATCACAAGTCTTCTACAGATAAATCAATCAGGACAGAAATTCCCTAACTTCTCAAATCACAAGACCTGCTAATTTTTCTTCAACTGCAACTTAACTTTTTGTTTCTAAGAACATAAAACAAAGATACTGAAAAGATAAACACTTTTTTTTCTTTTTTGTTTTTAAAGGCTCAAAGGGGCTCACCAAGGGATAATAATATAATGGACGACTATCTGGCTAAAGTGGGTACAGAAAAGAAAGAATGCCTCAATCATGTTCATTCATGCAAGTGAAAAATGCAGTTTCAAAAAGAACAAGAGCAAGTTCTAGAGGACAACAATCAAGAGCAGAAACACACAAGAAAGAAAGCATGGCCAGAAGATATGCCATGTATGCAGGCTCAAAACCTCACAAGGGTAAACCAAGTCATGCAATCAACAACACAGAATCAATCAACAGGTAGTTGTAATCCAAGAATCGAGATCAAAGCCCAACAGATTTATGCTATCAAACACTGTGATCTATGTCTACTCTATGTACCACTCAATAATTACCAGAAAGAAAAGGAAAATCTACCTATGAAAAAAAATCATAAACTAAAAGAAAGAAAGGAAAAGAAAAATAAAAATGCAAATAACAAAAAGAAAAGAAAAAGTCAAAAACTAAAAGAAAGAAAGGAAAAGAAAAATAAAAATGCAAATAACAGAAAGAAAATAAAAAGAGGGAAGAGAACTCCCTGAACTCCCTAAGGAGAATAAACAGCATCAAGTAGCTTGATTTCTTCCTCACTGGTTTAACACCTTCAAGTAAAATGCGGTGCATGCACATGGAAGGGCTGATTCCCACATTATCTGCTAAAGTCCATCCAATTGCCTTTTTATTTTCTTTCAGCAATGTCAGAAGCTTTACCTCTTGCTCAGGTAGAAGGTTCTTGGCCACTATCACAGGTAACTGCTCATTTTCCTCAAGAAATGCATATTTCAAGTGGTCGGGCAGAACCTTCAACTCCAATTTCGGAGGTTGCTCACTGGATGGAAGAGGTGTAGTTGGTGGTGCAAATTCTGCAGAAAACAAGTCAGCAGCAATGCCTGTAAACAAATTCTCAGAAACAGAATTAGGATCATCAATAATATCAGCAGGCAATTCAGAAAGTGCAGATTCACACTCAGAATCAGATTCATCAATAAGTGCATCGTTAAAACCAGAAAGATGTGATGCTATTTCAGCACACACAATGCACTCTTGACTATCACTACAATCACAGAAATCAGAATCAGTAGATGAAAAATCAGAAAAATCAGCAAGGAATTCAGCAGAAACATCCTCAACAACTTCGTCTATCACATCAATGCAGAAAACAGAATGCTCAGATGTATCAGTGCTTTGCCTCTTGGAGCTAGTGTCACTTCCCTTAGATGACTCAGCAGCAGTGTGGTTTGGCTCCTCCATATGCTTGCCAGACCGTAGAGTAATAGCACTCACATTTCCGCTTCCCTTTGTATTTGGAACTGTTTGGGATGGAAGGGAGCTGCCACTTGCTTGTTGATTTTGACTCATTGACGTTGCAAGTTGGCCAATCTGTGTTTGCAGATTCTGGAGGGAATACTCAGTAATCTGCTGGAACTGCAGATTGATAGTTGCCATCTGCTTCACTAAATCCTCCAAAGAAGGACCATCACTACTGGCTTGCTGCTGCATTGGCTGTGGAGGTGCAAATTGTTGAAAATTTTGCCTCTGTTGAGAAGGTGCAAACTGCTGCCTATGTTGGAATGGTGCACTTTGCTGGTTCTGATTCCAATTGAGATTTGGATGATTTTTCCAGCCAGGATTATATGCATTAGAGAAGGGATTGTTTTGCTGCTGCTGCTGGTATTGTGGCTTTGCAGGAAAAACTGCAGCAAAAGACTGATCAACTTGGAAACCGTTGTCTGGAAAGGAAGAACAAACATCTGTAGGGTGAAAAATTGGATTCATAGCAAACAGAAGCAAAAATAAATCTATAAAAAAAATACTAAATGAACTCAGAATGCTATGGGACCAACACTCCTAAACTCTAAATGACCTTACGGACTCAAAAATCAAATAAATTGTTTTTTCGAAAAATAAAATAAAATAGTAAACAAAGGAATTTGGCAAAACCAGTTTTCAGAGCGATCAGAGCAAGTTGAACAAGTTCAGAAATACCCGATACGTCCTGGAACCAATCGCTCAAACTGAAGTTTTACCGATTTCCCAATTTTATTTTATTTTTGATTTTTTTGATTGATTTTTTTTTAATTTTTTTTTCAAAAACGAAAATTAAAGAAAAAGAAGATGAAGATGAAAAAGAAGATGATCAAGAATCAGAAAACGATTTAGACCGATGCAATTTCCCCGGCAACGGCGCCAAATTTGACACGAGTTGTCGAACTCGCGCAAATTAAAATTAATTCTTTAGGGTTCAGAAAATTTTGCAGTAAAGTGGAAACCCTAAGTCGTCTCTCAAGGAAATTGTTTTGGTTAAAATCGCTTATGAGAACAGAAAATTAAAAGGGGGGGTTTTGGATTTTGATTCAATAATTAAAAAGGCAGAATATAAATTTGGAATAAAAATTCGTAATTAAAAATAACCAACCTAAGGTTTGGGTTCCATGGACGTCTTTCCTCGGATAAGAAGATATCAGAATCGTGATTGATTTGTCAATCAGATCAGAATCCTTATTTCCAATTGACAACCCTCTCTAAGCGATCGCTTAGCATTTGATCAAAGACGATGCTTCTACTCATACAATCGCAGAGTATCAGCCCGCTTGATTTAAGGTCATAGGGTCAATCAACCTAATCATCAAATCTGATGATTAATCCCTTTCCATAATCGCAATCGCGAACCTCAGATTGAATATCCACGATTGCACGATATCAATCTGAGTTGGGAAGGGAAACAAAACTGATTTGAAATAAACGCAGATCCTCAAGACCAATCCATGGAATCCATTACCCTTAGGTTGATTAAAAGGTTCTTAGCCTCGCATGGCTAAGGTAAACATAATTGAAATAAAAAGAAGAAGAAGAAGAAGAAGAAGAAAAGATGAAGAACGCAATTGAATAAAAACTCAGAGAGAACTTCTCTGTTGTAAAAACTGACTCCCAAGGGTTTCCTAGAGTCCCCTTTAAATAGCCGTCACGCAGGACGGCTAGGGTTTCATTGCTTCAGCCCAAACATAAAATAAAAAAACCGAATAAAATAAAATGAAACAATAAAACTTGGCTTTGGGCCACTTAAGTAATTGGGTTTTAATTTAAATTACAAGCCCAATAGTCAAACAAAACTTCAGCAAAACGCGTCCAACTTGGTGTCCGAAATCAACCAGCTTCTAGTCCGAATTGGGCTTAGAGCTCTGCATAAGAATTGTAGCTCTCTGTGTTATCTGAAAAAACCAACAAGAACGGAGTCAATCCGACAACTATGGACCGAGATATGGCCAAAATACAGAAGTAACGTAAAGCTGAAAAATTCTGACGAAAATAAATTAAACCCAATTAAAAACTAAAAACCTAAATTAACTCTAACAATCATTATTTTATTCAAATAAATCCTAAAAATACTAATCAAGAGTAACAAATAAGTGTAACAAAATATGTGTTATCACCCGCAAAGGAAGAAAAAACACAGAAATGGGAACTCAAGCCCCATAGCAATCAGGGTCACGATGAAAGAGTGCACAGTCCCAGAATCAAACAATACATCAATATCACAACCACCAATGGAAATGGTACCTCTTACAAGGTTCGGAGCTCTGTCCGACTGCTGCCGATCCAAGGTGTAAACTCGGCCCATGGCTGGTGACACGACAGGTGCCGCTGTAGGTGGAGTAGGAATCATCTGTAAAGGAACCGCCTGAACTATTGCAGCTCTAGCAGCTGATGAAGGACAATCTCTGGCATAGTGGCCCTCCTTGCCACAATGAAAACAAATGATTTGGTCGGTGGCACACGGCCCAACATGTGATCTCCCACATCCAGTACACCTGGGAATAGTGGAATGTCTAACTGCACTTCCCTGAGTCGAAGTCCACTTGAACTGGTTCAGCGCCTGCCTAGCAGATAACTGCTTCCCTTTGCCTTTTCCTCCAAAATTCATGTCTCTCCAGGAAATGAAGCTACCAGCTCCCTTCACCTCAAGCTCTCCCGTCTTCCTCTTCCTGTTCTTTATGCAAACATTCTCAATATCATGGCTTTGCTGGATCAAGGTACCAAAGTCTCTAGAGGCAGTACCAACAATACGATCTTCTATCTCTTCATTAAGTCCCCTACGGAAATTAGAAGCCAAGAATGCCAATGTAGGCATAGCAATACGAAAATGGGCAAACTTGGCCAGTTCATTGAACTTAGCCAAGTATTCATCAACCGACATTGAGCCCTGCACCAGGTGCTCAAACTCCCTCTGCTTCCTCTCCTAAGCATCATACGTGAAGTATCTTCCAAGGAATAACTCCTCAAAGAATGGCCACGTGATAACATGACCCTGAATCTCATAGACCTGAGAGGTGTTCATCCACCACTTGTGAGCATCTCTATCTAGCATATAAGTAGCAAACACCAGCTTCTGAGGATTCGAACACTGCATCACCCAGAATATCTTGTCTAGGGCCTGGAGCCATCTAGAAACAATAATAAGATCATAGGATCCATCCAATGAAGGTGGCTTATGCTTACGAAAAAGCATTCAGCCTGTGGTCTCTAGTCTACTGGTCTTCCAAAGGCTCAAGGTAGGGCTGCATCAGTCTCGTCAAATGGCTCACACCCTCCATATGGCTCAGAACATCGTGGTAAGGAATATGTGTTCTTCCTCTTCCGTCCCCATCATGGTGACTAGGTGAAGATGGAGGTGGCGGTGGCAGTGGCGGTAGCGGTGGTGGCGGAGGGAACTGGCCCTCATTGCGGCAAGCCCTCATCTCCTCCAACATGACCCTCATCATGGTCATGTTCGCCAGCCTGTTCTCCTCAAGCACGTCTTCCGTGGCTTTCCTATTCGCCTCTCTCGCGGCGTCCATCATAGCCTGATTGGCCACTCTAATGGCCTCCTGGTCGGCTTATCTAGCCGCCTGCATCTCAGCTAATACAGTCAGGATAGGATCAGGCTAACCCTCATTCGTCTCCCGAGTCCTCCTAGGAAGTATAATAACTCTGCACATGTTACACAAAGGTTGAGTTGATCAAGCCCACACAATGTGGTCACGCGTGCATTATCATAGCAAAACCTAAAAGAAACTCACAAGACAAGTCACACAACAAGGCATCCTAAGTTATTGCAATACATACAGGCTTTTTCCCTAGAAAATGCTCTGATACCATAAAATGTAACACCCCGTGTGCACATGGTGTATTAAACATACATATGGTAATAGCACAGCTAAATAAATGCGGAAGCTAACTTTTTTCAATTATGAAACCATTCATTATTAACCAAGTGGAATACTTTTTTTTTCAAAATATATCGCCTGTATGTAAATTGCAATAAATAACTAAACTAAATAACCTCATCAAATATATATGTATCTAGTCACGGAATTACAACACGTAGATCGGACAAAATCCAGATACAATTATACAATTCAAATATAACAAACATATCTGATATCATTGTGGCATGGACAACCCCCATGCTCACAAAATAAGGCAATGTAGCCAATCATAGTCTCAAATGAACTAACAATAGGCTAATAGCAAAGCATAATCAATATCCAGACATATCAGTAAAACAACATGCATAATCAGCTCAACTCCGGCCTCCAGCTGCTAGAGGTATTAACCCTCGAGGTACCTGTAGCTGAAAATGTGCCCCAACACGAGGTGAGATCTCTAAAAAGAAATATCAGTAAGATAAGGGGTTCTCTAGGATCTCTCCACCCCAAGCTCACTTACATATGCAATATAAGTTCCAAAACAGTATAACAATATCGTTTCCAAAACTTGTGCAATGCAGCATATATCCATGTCATGTGTGTATGCATTCTACTGGCCAGAGAATTAAAAGGTAGGGATTACATACGTCTACAACCTACAGTACAAGGAACACCGCTTGCACCTCACCCACGGAGTTACCGTCTTGTATGTCTCCACATACTCAGGGGTTACTGTCTATGTGGTACACCACATAAATATCATATGACACTTGCACTCAATAAAACAGCTCACTAGCATATCAAGAATTATCATTTATTTTCATAAAAACACAACATGCATATAACCATCCCTCCATAAGGTATAGTGGAACCAACAAAGGGCAAGATCGAGGACACAAAAACTTACCTCGCAAGCTAACAATCCCAAGTCAAGAGACCATAACAGCCCAAGGTCACCAAATAGCACAATCACAATCTGTTTAGACCAGAAATCTCATCAACATTCGAAATCTAGAAGTTCATTACATTATGACTACGTTTCCTTTTTCGTTTTATGCCTTTAGGCTTCTTTCAAAGCCATAAGCCTTTAATCTAAGTGATTCTGACTTAGTTAACTTATTATAGAGGTTCATGCTAACCAATCAAGGGTCCAGAAACCCAATCCAAGCTTTTGTTGGGGAAGAACAGTGCATAACTCAAAATTTCCAGAATATTCGGATATTTCACGGAGGCATATCCACATATCCATATCCGGAAATCACAAACCCCATATCCGGATATTCATATTTGGATATCATATCCGGATATTTTGCGACAGAATGTAGTTTCTGCATTTTGCGAAGATATCCCTCCAAGGTTCCATTTTTAATACTTCAACACGTCCAAGCATTCATTTTTATACACATTTAAATCAATGTTTATAAGAACCCGCACCGTTAACTTGAGAATTTAATTAATTAATTATGAGATTAATGAGATAATTCCATAATTGACCCTAATAATTATGAGAAGGCTTAAATAATTAAGGTAAGTAATTACTAATGTTGAAATTCGTTTTTCTGACGAAAAGTGTAGATACCAGCTCTCCCTCCACAGTGTAAATGCGTACCGATGAAGTATCTCAAAAAATTATGAAAAATGTGTATATATTATTAGAATAATATATAGGACTGGCATAACAAGTTTCAAGTCAAAATAATGAGAATTGGTGTCAGAACTGATACTGGCTTCGTAAAAGCGCATACCGGCAAAGTGCTGCGAAAAATAAAATAAAAATATGAAAAATCCTAGAAAAATGGCTAGGTTCAGAATCCTAAGTTTGGGATTAAAATGCTAAGTGTAGCTATTAGTGCTGATACAATGTGTTTAAACTTAATTGGGCTATAAATACATCTTTTGGCCCAAAACCCTAGGCCATACTCAGATTTCTAAGTGGACCATTTCTAATAGGGAGCTCTCCACCTTGATGCCACCTTTCTCTCCCTTCATGGCTTGAGTCTTTTGCTTGTATACACCAAAGGCATCATTTTTACTCTTGATTTCTTCTCTTCTTCCTTGCAAACACTGAATGGTTGGCTTTGTGAGTGAGTTTGACATTTCATTTCTGAGTGTGAGCTACTGTTTGTGAGGTTTTGGGGGCTGAGTTGTGGGTTCTCCTTGTGAAAGCTATTGTCTTGGCATTTTAGGCTTCAAGAAACCACCTTTTGGTGTAAAGGACCCATCTTGTTTTGCATTTTTGTGGTCCTTGAGGGTCAGAACCATTGTGCTGTGTAGAGGACTCCTTGGAGGTATACCATGATCACCTCTGTGTTATTTTCATGATTTAAGCTTGTTTAATCCATTAAAAAGTGAAACTTTGATCATTTGAGTTAAGGACTGAGATTCTGGGTCTAAAATATGTTAATGAACATCTGTTTTCGAAGTCATTGGACTCCAAATCGCTTTAGGACCATTAAATATGGATTTATGCAGAAGACAGCTTGAGTTTCTGCATTCTGTCTGATAAGTATTCGAATACTTTTCGTGTAGTATTCGAATACTCATCAGCAGTAATCGAATACTCCTTGCAGGAGTATTGTGATACAATTCTGGGAAGAAAAGTATTCGGATACCTTTGAAGAAGTATCCAAATACTGGGAAGTATTCAGATACTGGGCGGAATGTATTTGGATACTGAGAAGTATTCGGATACTGTTGGAAAAGTATTCGGATTCCATGTGGTATTCGAATACTGTTGGACGTTTAGCAAGTGCACTAGTCGTACAAGTAATAAAATGATGAGTAAAGATCGTTCCCACGAGGAATTGTGTTCAAACACCAATATACCATAGAAAACTAATTTGAATCAAATAAGAGTTTGTAAAAATCATGAATAATTTGTCACCAGAAAATTGATTTTGAGTAAATTGACACAAAGTAAATATGGATTAGGAATTAATAAAAACAACAAGTAGTCAGAAAACAACTTTCCTCCATGATAACTCATATAAAAATTGATCATATGATGAATTCCTTTCCATGTGATGTTAATCAACCTTTTACTTATCATCAAGATGTAATCCCTTACTACCTTGATAGAAACATTAATCAGAAACCCCAATCCCTTGGTGATTTCTTTCTTAATACATGCATGAAATACTAAGGTTTTAAGATTACATCAGAACTCTAGCATCAATCCCTTGAGTACTAGAATTCTGATGTTGAGATTATCAAATACAGAAGTCATATAAACATCCCTGTTCTATACTACTTCTTTGATAGAAATAATTAACTCAGAAAATCTCAAATCAGCACATGGAAAATACTTCATCATATTAATCAAATCAACATATTATTATCATGGAGTTCCATTGCATTCAGACTACAAAGACTCTACTCAGACATAACTAAGGAATAAATAAGAGAAGAAGAATCAAACTTCATTTCCATGTTGAAAGTCTTCAATCTCCAAACTATTACAAGGAAATCCTATTACAAAAACTAAGAGAATTTAGAGAGAAGTCAGACTAAGTTTAAGAGAGAGAGAGAGTTCAGATCTCCCAAGATCTTTTTCTAAGTGTCAAGGCTTTGCCTTATATAGTGTTAAAATTAAAAACAGAAAACTGATGTGGGCGCTAAAACGTCCATAAGTGGCCGTTTTAGCGTCCATGCTTTACGTATGCTCAACTGCTTTTAACTGATTTCAATGCTAAAACGTTAAGGAATGACCGTTTTAGCGTCCAAACTTGGTGAATGCTCAACTAACTTTAACTGACTCCAACGCTAAAACGTTTGATTTGGACATTTTAGCGGTGAAGACCATAATCTTTTTCCACTTTAGGGCGCTAAAACGCATATTGCAGGCCGTTTTAGCGTCCAAGACCAGCAATTTTCCATCTTCTTAGTGTAGCAGCGCGCTAAAACGCTCTGTGTGGACGTTTTAGCGCTAATCACCAGCAAGTTTTGGCCTCTTTCTGTAACAGGGCGCTAAAACGCTCAGTGTGGACGTTTTAGCGCTCAACACCAGCAA